TAGCTTGTAGGTCATACAAATCAACCAGAAAGCAACTTCTTAACAACAATACAACAGTAACAAACCCTCACATATCAATAGCTAACTTGAATGTTAATGGCCTAAGCACCACTTAGAGAGTAGCAAATTGGATTTTTAAAAAAGACCCTTTTACTGTCTTCAGAAAACCCATCTCATTAAGAATGACACCCACAGGCTCAAGGTAAAGGAATGGATAGAGATCTTCTATGCAAATGAAAAACAAATAAGAGCAGAGATCACTATTCTTGTATCAGATAAAACAGACTTTAAGTCAATAAAAGTAAAAAAGGACAATGAAGGCCATTACATAAAGATAAAGGGCTCAACTCAACAAGAAGAAATAGCAATCTTAAATGTATACACACCCAACATAGGGGCACCAGATTTATAAAAACAATTGCTGCTTAACCTAAGAGAGAACACAGATAGCCACACAATGATAGTGGGGGACTTCAACACCCTGCTAACAGCTTTAGACAGATCATCAAGGCAGAAAACTAAGAAATAAATCCTGGACTTAAATTCAACAAGACCCATTAGATCTAGCAAACATCTACAGAACTCTCTACGCAGTAACCACAAAATATACATTTTTCTCATCCACAAATGGAACATTCTCTAAGATAGACCACAAAGTCATTCACAAATCAAGCTTGAATAAATTCTAAAAAGTCAAATCATACCAAGCATCTTCTTGGATCACAGTAAAATAAAAATAGATATCAATACCAAAAGCAACCCTCAAAAACACACAAATATGTGGAAATTAAACAACTTACTCCTGAACAATTTTTGGGTAAACTAAAATCAAGACAGAAATAAAAAGATTCTTAGAGACAAATGAAACTATAGATACAATATACCAAAAGCTCTGGGATGTTATTAAAACATTGCTGAGAGGGAAGTTTATAACATTACACACCCATATCAAGAAAATAGAGAGACCTTAGACAACCTAATATTGTACTTAAGGAAACTGGAAAAACAACAACAACAACAACAACAACAATCTAGAGCTAGTAGAAAACAATAAACAAAAAATAAGACAAAGCCAGAACAGAACTAAATGAAACTGAAACCAAACAAAAAACAAGCAAACAAACAAACAAATAACAAAAAACCATACAAAGAATCAATGAGTCCAAAAGCAGCTTCTTTTAAAGGATAAGCAAGATTGATAAATTCCTGGCTATAGTGTGGGACTGGCCACAAATGAAAGAGAAAATTTGAATAAATCCAATCAGAAATGAAAAAGGTGACATTACAACTGATCTTGAAGAAGTACAAGATTATCAGAGATTTTTATAAATATCTGTGTGCATGTTAGAAAATCTAGAGGAAATTCCTGGAAACACACAACCTCCCAAGATTGAAACAGGAAAAAGCTGAAACTCTGAACAGACCAGCCACAAAATTAAATCAGTAATAAAAAAAAAAAAACCCACCTACCAAAAAAAGCCCTGGTCCAGATGGACTCACAGCTGAATTCTACCAGACACACAAGGAAGAGCTAGTACTAATCCTAGTGAAAGTGTTCCAAGCAATTAAGAAGGAAGAACTCCTCCATAACTCATTGCTTGAAGCCAATGTATCATCCTGATACCAAAAAAAAAAAAAAAAAAAATTGCAAAGATGGAAAAAATAAAGAAAACTATAGGCTGCCATCCCTGATAAACACAGATGCAAAAATCCTCAACAAAATACTAGCAAATCACATCCAACAGCACATCACAGGGATCATTCATCATGACCAGGCGGGCTTTATTCCTGGGATACAAGGCTGGTTCCGTATACACAAGTCAATAAATGTCAGCTACCACATAAACAGAAGTAAAACCAAGAACACATGATTATCTCAATAGATATAGAAAAAGCAGTTGATAAAATTCAACATCCAATATTCCTTTATGATAAAAACTCTCAACCATCTAGGCACTGAAGAATCATTTCTCAAAATAATAAGAGGCATCTATGACAAACTTGCAGCCAACATCATACTTAATGGACAAAAGCTGAAAACACTCCCCCAAGAACTGGAACAAGACAAGGCTTTCCACTTTTATCACTCCTACTTAACATAGTACTGAGTCCTAGCCAGAGAAATCAGGCAAGAGAAATAAGTAAAAGATATCCAAATAGAAAAAAGAGGAAGTTAAATTATCTCTCTTCATAGATGACATACCTCTATATCTAGAAAACCCAAAAGGTGTCACCAAAAAACTCCTAGCACTAATAAACAATTCCAGTAAAGTCTCAGGATAAAAATCAATGCTCAAAAACCAATTGCATTTCTATATGCCAATAACAAAAGGCCAAGAACCAAATAAAAAACCCAATCCCATTCATAATAGTCATAAAACAAAAATAAAACAACAACAACAAACCTTGAAATACAACTAACCAAAGAGATAACAAAATTTCCATAATAAGAACTATACAATGCTGCTGAAATAAATCAAAGTTGACACAAACAAGTAGAAAAATATCCTATGCTTATAAAAATCAATATAGCTAAAAAGTCCATGCTGCCTAAATTAATCTATAGAATCAGCACAGTCCCTATCAAGTTACCAGCATCATATTTCACAGATCTAGAAAAGATAATTCTTAAATTCATAAGGAAGCAAACACCAGCCCAAACAGCTAATACAACCCTAAGCAAAAAAGAACAAATCTGGAGGCATCACATTGCCAGACTTCAAACTTTACTACAAGGCAATAGTAACCAAAACAGAATGGTGCTGACACAAAATAGACACAGAACAATGAAACATAATAGAGAGGCCAGCAATAAAGCCACTGACTTACAACCAACTCATCTTTGACAAAGTCCATAAAAACAAACATTGAGGAAAAGGCACCCTATACAACAAGGGGTGCTGAGAAAACTGGCTAACCATATGCAGAAGAATGAAGCTGGATCCCTACCTATCACCATACAAACATTAACTTAAAATAGGTGAAAGACTTCAATGTAAGACACTAAACTATAAAAAATCCTCAAAGAAACCTGGGACACACTTTCCTGGACATTCACTTAGGCAATGAACTCATGATCAAATCCTCAAAAGTAAATGCAGTGAAAACTAAAATTGACAAGTGGGAACCTATCAAGTTAAAAAGCTTCTAAACAGCAAAATAAACCATCAACAGAGTAATGAGACAACTCACAGAATGGGAGAAAATATTTTCAAATGATGTATCCCAACAAAGGACTAATATCCAGTATCTATAAGAAACTCAAATGAATCAACAGGAAAATAGCAAATAACCACATTAAAAAGTGGGTAAAGGACTTGAACAGACACTTTTCAAAGGAAGATATACAAGCATCTAACAAACAAATGAAAAAATGCTCAACTTCATTAATCATCAGAGAAATGCAAATCAAAACCACAATGAGATAACATCTCACATCAGTCAGACTGGCCATTATTTAAAAAGTCAAAAAACAACATAAGCAGTAAAGTTTGAAGTCTGGCAATGTAATATATCCAGCTTTGTTCTTTTTACTTAGGTTGCAGAGAAAAGGGAAGAATTAGTGGGAATATAAACTAGTATACCCCTGTGGAAAACAGCTTGGAGATTTCTCAAAGTACTAAAAATAGATTTACCATTTGACCAGCGATCTCACTACTAGGTATATACCAAAGGATTATAAATCATTTTACCAAAAAGACACCTACACATGTGTTTATTGCAGAACTATTCACAACAGCAAAAACATGGATCTAACTTAGGTTCCCATCAACGGTGGACTGTATAAGGAAAGTGTGGTACATATACACCACGGGATACGACACAGCCATAAAAAAGAACAAAATCATGTCCTCTACAGCATGTCTTCATGAATTAGAATTGTGCCTGCCATGCCCATGCAGCTGGAGGCCATCATTCTAAGTGAATTATCACAGAAATAGAAAACTGGATACTGCACGTTCTCATTCATAAGTGGGAGCTAAACACTGGGCACACACAGGCATAAGGATGGGAACAACTGACACTGGAGACTCCTAAAGTGGGGGAGGGAGGGAGGGAAATAAGGGCTGAAAAACCACCCACTGGGTATCATGCTCACCAACTGGGTGATGGGCTCAGTAGAAGCCCAAACCCTCATCATCATGAATTATACCTGTGTAGCAAACCGGCACACATACCCTTTGAAACTAAAATAATAATAATATTGATAAAAAATTTAATGTTATCTGTCCTGTTGGGTTTTGGATTTACTCAGGGCTTGTTATTCTTATCTTCTTGCCTATTTCTCCCTTTTAGAATAGGTATGCCTACCCTATGCCCATCCCACCACTGTATTTTAGAAGCATATAATATGCTAATTTCACAGACTCACAGGTAGAGAGGAATTAGCTTTGAGATGAATCATGCCTTGAGTCTCATCTATATTTGATTTAGATGAGATTATAGACTTCCAACTTATGAGTTGGTGTTGAAACAAGGCTTTGGGGCTATTGGGATAGATGAATGTATTTTGCATGTGAGAAGGACATGCATTTAGGATGACATGGTTGCACTGTTTCCCTTAAAGTTCAAGTGTTGCAAACTTAATCCTCAATGCAACAGTGTTTTGAGGAGAGGCCTTTAAGAAGTGATTAGGTTATTCGGGTTCTGCCCTTATGAATAGCTCAATCCTGTTATTACAAAAGTGGGTTATTTATGATGGAAGTGGGTTCCTAACCAAAGAATGAGTTTGGCACACTTCCTCCCCCTCTCTCATGTTCCCTTGTCCTTCCTCCATGGGATAACACAACAAAAGGCCCTCACCAGATATGGGTCCCTTGATCTTAGACTTCCCAGCCTTCAGAACTGTAAGAAATAAATCTCTGTTCTTTATATATTACCTAGTCTCAAGTATTTTCTTCTTGCAGCACTAACACAAGATATAAGTTACTTAATTTGTAGGTTAAGCTTCTGGGAATATGAACATAGTTCATCTGGCTTAGTCTGATCGATTAACTTACCAGTGTCATCATCAAAATCAGACAGGACTGATTCAATTCCATCCTCACTGCTAGCTGACTGTTCCTGAAGTCTTCGAGGCAAGCTAGCAAGTCGTCCACTAAGGAATATTGGCTTCAAGGGCATTTTGTAGATTTTGGCCAATAACTAAATTAAGAAAAAAGCAAAATTGCAATTATACATTGGAAAAAGCTCCACTCTGGGTGTTAAAGAATAATGAAATTATACACTAGTACCAAAGGGATGCAGGAAACTAAAAAAGCTCCCAATTTATAAAAATTTTAAAGTTGGTTGTGATTTGGATTTAAAGAGATATCTTACAAGTGGCATTTATCCCCTGAAGACGATGAAATAGCATCCAATGGCAATAAAAAAAAGTAGAGAAAAAAAGACCCTATGGATAATTTTTCAGTGCCTTAATTACAAATGAATTTTATAGACATTTATAAACCTGTCAAGGGAACCATGAAATATGTCAAGAATTTTTGCCTATGCGATAAATTGTTCTGTGGGGATCATTGGCAAGAGAAAGTCTGTAGGCAAATAGGATACCAGATTCTGATTTCTCCTTTCCCCTGACTCAGCCTGTAAGGAAACATAGGGGCAAAGATCAGTTGGAGAAATGGAGGAGTCTGGGGCCAGGTGGGAGAGATGAAGGCCTCAGAAGTAGAGCTAATGAAGCGGCCTCTCACTACTAGGGTCCGGCCCCCAGGGGTCCCCATTACTGGCACAAAGTCCCAAGGATCCTTATGTCATCACAAATTAGAATTGTGCCAGCTGTGCCCATGCTGTCCTAGACCAGGGAAAGGGCTGTGAGCAAGATAGACAAAATTTCTGTTCTTGTAGGTTTTACAGACTACATTCTTTTCACAAATAATAAATAAAATCTCCAACATAAATGCTACCAGAAAAAGTAAACAGATGGTACTAGTAAGAGTGGCAGGTGTGAAACTATGCTGGCAGGAGATGGCAGATCCTTTAGCCCTCATCTCTCCAAGGAGGTGGTGTTTTGAATGAGATCTGGAAGATAAGGGGACACAGAATGTGGGGAGAGACACTGTGAGTGAGAGGTCAAGATTTGAGGGTGGAAGGGGAGCCAGGCAGGGTCATGTCACACTGGGTCTGGGGGAGGCAGGTGGAGGGAGACTTCAGGCTGCCTATTCTTCCTGAAGTCACGGGGTGTAATGCTATCACCCTGGGGGAAACTGTATAGAGAGCCCCAAAGAGGCCTAGGGACATCACTTGAGAAGACAGGAGAGAAACTATGGAGAGAAAAGAGAAGAAAGAGCTTCAAGGAGGGAGCATCATCTTGCTTGTCAGCGATTTGAAGCAGACAAAGGCAAAGGACATATGGTCACTGTTTACTTTGACAAGTGGTGTTTTATTGGATCTCTTTACTAGATCTTGATTGAGTATGTCCCTCTTCACTGTTTGCACTCCCACCTTCTATTTTTTGGTACCATCAGGAAGACTTCCGATGACCTCATGACCCCTTCCCCTGTGGCCTGTTGGAACTATAGAGATTACAGTAGTTCACGGGTCTGCGCATGGGTGAGAAGTTTCAGAGATCTCACACACAACTGTGTTTTCTCATATGTTTTCATTATTTTCTTTCCTTTGTAGAAAGTATAAGGGCAAAAAGTTGTACTCCGAATCAGAGCCCATATCTCCTCAAAGACAGCAGAAAGTGTTTCTCCTGGGCTTCAGCAAAGGCCATCTACGTGTATGACAGGGAACCCCCAAAATGGAAATTATAAAAAATTGTGTATTCTATATGTTTACCCCTCAGTCACCTTCAAGGTACTCTCCGTTTGATGCAATACATCTATCGAGAAACTTTTTCCACTGCTCAAAACAGTTTTTGAACTCATTAATTTTGATGCCTTTTAGTGTTTCTGTGTTTTTTGTTTCACCTCTTCCACATAGGCAAAACGTTTTCCTTTGAGGACTTTTTTCATCCAAGGAAACAAAAAAAGTTGCTCTGGGAGAGATAGGGTGAATAGGGAAGGGGATCATGCTGGTTTTGGTTAAAAATTGCTGAACACTCTGCACAGTGTGGGCAGGTGTGTTTTCATGGTGGATAAACCAGTCACCTGCTTGCCACAACTCAGGACACTTCTTCTGCAAACTGTGATGCAAACTTTTCAAAACTTCCAGATAAAAACTTTGGTTGGCCATTTGATCTGGAGGAAGAAATTCTGAGTGTACTGGGGGGCCCACCTTTGAAAAGATAATTCCGAATTTTTTTGCCCTCCCTCCCTTATATTTTGCCAACATTTTGGAGGCAGGTTTCAGGGTCTGGAGCTCAGCATCTCCCCTACCTGAGAGCAGCGCCTGAGGTAATCCAGGGCGGGGAGGCACAGGTCTGTGGATGGGGTCCCTGGTCCTGGGACACGGTCTCCAATTTCTTTACAGTCCACCTCCCCTAGGGGTAGCACGGGGAACAGAGACCAACAGAGTTACTTTTGCTCATATTAGTTCAAATGTTTGCTAAAATAGAGAAAGAGAAAGAGAGAAAGAAAGAAAGAAAGAAAGAATGAAAGAAAGATAGAAGAAAGAAAAAAGAAAGAAAGAAAAAGAGAAAGAAAGAAAGAAAGAAAGAAAGAAAGAAAGAAAGAAAGAAAGAAAGAAAGAAAGAAAGAAAGAAAAAGAAAAAGAGTTGTAAATTGTACAACTCTGAGAAAAACCCTGAGGAAAATCCTTTTGGTCAATCTCCCCACTGAATGTGTATAAGTTAAATACAGCTGGCACCATAGTGTACATATTAATTTGCTGGGATTACATTGTTTTGCAATTTTTCTTTTCGCAAAACAATGAACGTTTCCTTCATATGCTATCACAGTACTTTCAGTGGCTGGACGGTGTTCTTTTGTACATGGGCACACTGTAATTGATCTCTCCAGACCCTGCTGCTGGATGGTGTGATTTCTGAAGCTTTGCAGACAGAGGACAATTCCAGAGAAAAGTCCTGAGTTGGGCTGGAATGAAGCATTCACTCTCTATCTGGAAAAGGACTTGTTCATTCACCACCAGTGCATGGCACTGATGATGATTAATGAAGACTCTGGGAAGAATTTAAACATCAGGGGCTTGGGGACAGATACTACTTAATTGAATTTAAATGATTTCTATTTTTTGTACCTATCTAGAGACTTAACATATCTATAGATGGGAATCTAGATTTTCTATAGGAATAGAAACAGATAATTATAATTTTTCTTCTCATAGTGAATATTTCCATACTTTTATTAAAATCATTTATTGGTACTGTAATTGTTTCTAATTGTCTATAATTGTAGCAACTAACACCCTCCCACGTAAGTAAACAGATGTAATTACTAGGTATTGGTTAACATTCAGAAGCAAAGAGGTATACTTCTCCTTTAAAAAAATTTCTTATTTTTTTGTTTGTTTTTTAAGATAGGGTCTTACTCTGCTGTCCAGGCTGGAATATAGTGTTGCAATCACAACTCCCTGCAGCCTCAACCTCCTCGGCTCAGGTAATCCTTCCACTTCAGCCTCTCAAATAGCTAGGACTATGGGCATGTGCTACCATGCTTGGCTTCTTTTTTATTTTCTATAGAAATGAAGTTGCCCATGCTGGTCTCGAATTCCTGAGCTCAAGCAATCCTCTTGCTTTAGCCTCCCAAAGTGCTAGGATTATAGGCATGAGTCACCACATCTGGTCTGATTGCCCAGCTTCTTAGCAAAAGTTGAGAATGCCTCTCACTCCAGGCCAGACCTTATTAATCATAAAATATAATTTGGAAATGTAGAAGTCACTATGGAGTGCTCTTAGACCTGGAACCTGAGTACCTTTCAAATAGGGAAAAATATAAGGGTCATATTATTCTTTGAAAATGAAACTGGTATAAACTAATATATAGACTGAAAACATGCTACGTTACATGAACACAATGAAGAGTGTCAACTCTGGAGAAAATCCTAGCTGCTTTCCCAGTAAGCTTTCTGCTTCTGAGTACATAAAACACCATTTGCCTATGTCCCTGGATGCTTGCTTGCTCCAGGTAGTCAGTAGGTTGGGTCTCCCAGACACAAAAAGCCATCCTAGAAAGCGTCATTGGCTTTTCTGAGGCATGAAAGGAGGACTCCACTTACCTAGTCCTTTGACAAACTTCATAAGGCACATGATGTAACTAGTGGCTGCATTCGCAAAGACCTGGATGTTGTCAGTATTGAGAAAAGCTTCAAATACATCAAACACTGGAGCTTGGCCTTTTCCTGAGGGAAGAAGACCGTAGAGTTTTAAGACAGTAAGCTTTGACCCTCCAGGCTGCCCATACTCCTCGCACCTTCCCCAGGGCCGTAGGGAAGTTTTCTACTGGAGAAATGTCTGGGCTTTTTGCCTGGGCCACTGGCTTGGCTCTGATTCTGTCCTTCTCAGCTTTGCCTGCAGGGGAGCTGCAGGAAGTCTGAGAAGAGAGATTTCAGAGAGAGATAAAATTAAACTTGGCCGAACACAGGGCTGAGGCAATGTGTTGGTCTGCAGGGCAATGAAACATGTGGCTTCTGGAATACTCTTGCATGGTAATTGTAGGTTATCTACAGGGTAGGGCAGGGAAGGTTTAGATAGACCTCTGATGGCATATATGAGTTGATTCATAGTTGTGCAGAAAAAAGTTAACATAAAAGGCTGGAGACCACTATTCTTTTAGAAAGGCTTGCTTGCAAGGTGTATTGCATCAAATGGAGAGTACTTTGAAGGTGACTGAAGCGTAAAGGTGACCAAATTATACAACTCACCATAAGAAAAAGAGGTGCAGACAGAAGTGGTAAATAAGATAATGGGTGAGCTACATGTGGACTAAAATAAGTGTCGGATTCTGACTTAAAGCCTGCCACCAGATGCAGCTGTACAATTGAAATACATCAACTCACTTGCCACTCACTGACAGGGTTTTGATATGAGTCTGCAAGCAATTGATTTATTATGGTCTCTGTGCAGTCAAACCTCACTGCTAATGTTAATCTGTATTTGCAGCAGCTCCCCAGTGCCAACATTACCGCCTCAGCTCCACCTCAGAACATTAGGCATTAGAGTCTCACAAGAAGGGTGCAACCTAGATCCCTCATGTGCCAGTTCATAATAGGGTTCATGCTTCTATAAGACTCTAATGCCGCTGCTGATCTGACAGAAGATGGAGCTCAGGTGGTAATGTGAGTGATGGGGAACAGCTGTAAATGCAGATGAAGCTTGGCTCACTTGGTCTGTGGCTCACCTCCTGCTGTGCGGCTCAATTCAGAACAGGCCGCAGACCGGCTGGGACCCCTGCCATACAGCAAGAAATCATCCAAACATTCTTACCCATGGAGTAGTCACCAACCAGGTACTCCTTCACCTCTGACTTGTTTCCACTGTGCACTGTTTCCAGGGCACTAAACAAGGGCCTCCATCCCGACTGGATCTGTGTGGAACACACTTCAACCAGCTCACCGATGGACGTGACAACCTGGCAGAAGCAAAGAAGGCGGTGTTTAAAATCCTCTCCTAAAAAGGAGCAGTTTCTGGTTAACTTTAGAGAAAAAGAAAAACGAACACCCAGATGATCTCGCTCAAAAATCTTCTAAATAATCAGCCATTTGGTATTAATTTGTATTTCATTAATGACGAATGCTGCTGAGCAACTTTTCGCATACTTGTTAGTCTTTTGTAAGTATTTTGCTCTTTTTAAAAAATGGGTCATTTCTTGTCATGATTGTCTTTTTATTTTTTATTTTTAGAGTTTCTTATGTAGTCCAGATTCAAGGCCTTCTTGAGAGATGATATGAAAATATTTTTTCACAGCCCTAGGCTTGTCTTTTAATTTTTTTAAATGATGTCCTTTGAAGAGTAAAGTTTAACATTTTTATGAAGTTCAATTTATCAATTTTTCTTTCTCAGAGATGAGGTCTTGCTATGTTGCACAGGCTGGTCTTGAATTCCTGGGCTCAAGCAATTCTCCTGCCTCAGTCTCCCAAGGTGCTGGGATTGCAGGCATGAGCTGCTGCATCCAGTCAATTTTTCTTTTAATGAATTGTTTTGTTGGTATAATTTCTAAGAAATCTTTGTTTAACACAAGGTCTCAAAGATTTTTCTCCTATGCTTTCTTCTAGAAACATTTATAGTTTTTGCTCTTATATTTCAGTCATGACCTATTTTGAGTTATTTTCATATTTGGTGAGAGGTAAGAGTATAAGTTTTTATTAATCACATATGGTGTTTGAAAGCACTATATGCTAAAAATAATATCTCCCACGATTGATTTGCAATGGCATCTTTGCCAAAAATCAATTTATTATAAACAAGAAAATGTATCTCTATACTCTCCAGTTCCACTGACCTATAGGCCTATCCTAACCCCAGTACCACACCGTGTCAATTACTAAAGTTTTGAAGTTGGTTAGTGTAAATTCTCCAAATTTGTTCTTTTTCAAATTTGTTTTCTCTATTCTAGATCCTTGCACTCTCTTTAAAACTCGCCTTGACATTTATTTTTTTAAAAAAGACTGCTGAGATTTTGGTAGGAATTGCATTGAATCTATACATCAATTTGGAGACATTTGCCATTTAAAAAAATTGAGTCTTTCAATTCATGAATAGTATATCTTATATTTATTTGAATCTTCTTTAATTTCTCTTAGCAATGTCTTGTTTCATGTACAAGTTTTGAAATTTTGCTAAATTTATTCCTAAATATTTTATTCTTTTTGCTCTTGGTGATAAATTTTTATAATTTTCCTTTTAGATAACTTATTTCTCAACTACAGAAATTAAGCTGATCTTGGTATGTAGATCTTATACCCAGTGACCTTGCTAAACTCACTGTTACTTTTAGTAGTTGTTTGTAAACCCATAAAATTGTCTATATACAACCCCATGTTGTCTGTGAACTAAAACAGTTTTACTTTTCAAACCTGGACACTTTTAATTTCTTTATACAGTGAGTAAAAATGAATGTTGAATAGAAGTGGTAAAGATGGAAATCTTTGCCCTACTTCTGATCATAGGGGAAAAACATTCGGTCTTTTGTCCTTAAGCAATGATGTTAGATGTGGATTCTCAAAGATGCCCTTTATTCCATAAAGGAAATTTCTCATTTCTTGAAAGTTTTTGTCAAAAATGGTTGCTATATTTTGTCAAATGTTTTTCTATATCTATTAAGATGATCATGTGGTTTTAATACTTCATTCTACTAACATGATATATTATATTAATTGATTTTCATCTGTCAAACCAACTTTATATTCCTGGGATAAGTTCCACATGTCACAGTGGCTAATTTTTATAGGTTGCTGAATTTAGTTTGCTAATAATTTTTAAAGAAACTTTTTTTTCCTCGAATTTTGGAAAGAATATTAGTCTTTCTTGTGGCTTTGGTATCAGAGTAATACAGGCCTTCTAAAATGAGTTTAAAAGTGTTTCCTTCTCTTCTAGTTTCTGATAGAATTTGTGTAGGGTTGGTATTATTTCATCCTCAGTTTATAAATTCACCAGTGAAATCAACAAGTCTTGGGATTTTTGTGGAACTATGTATTTTCTAAATATATGGACCTTTACTGAATTTGTTAAACAAGCTGTTTAAATTACTGCCCCCAAAATAATAGTCTAGAAACATGTTACCTATTTGAAAGAACAATACCATTAGTAAGTCACAAAATTTAACTGTAATGACCAAGCAGTGATTACTGGTCAAATCAATCCACATTGACAGCTTTAAAGTGCTCAGATGCTAGTTTTTAAAATAAAAGTAACAACTACCAATTAGATTATCCTAACACTGGTCAGGCCTTAAAGGAACTTGATTCAGGAAATCATTCAACACACAAAGGTAAGAGAATGACCATATAATCATCAGTAATTAAACCAATGGCACAATTTTCCAAATCATTTTAGTAAGTTGTAATAATTTCTAACTTTCTAAAAGTCTACTGCTACACAAAACTCAAAGCAATCTATTTTTCTACCTGTGATAAAAATAAGTTTCCTTTACCTATCTAAACATAATTCTTGGTATTAAGGTAAACCTGAATTCATATGATGTACTTAGTCAAACATTTTCAAAAATTAAAAACTGTGCTTTATACACATGCACACATCTACATATTTTTTATTCAAAGACTAATGACAAATTTATAAGGCTAATAGGCCTGTAGTATATAACCATCATCATAATATAATTTTAGAACAAATTTAATTACCTCCCCCCTCAAAAAAACCCAGTACTTGTTAGCAGTCATTCCCTATTCTGCCACTCCACTCTCACCCCTAGGCAACCATGAATGTACTATTTGTCTCTAGAAATTTGCCTATTCTGGACATTTTATAGAAATGCAATCTGATCATATATAAATATGATCTTTTGTGACTGGTTTTTATCATTTAATGTAAATGTTTTCATCCATACTGTAGCACATATCAGTACTTCAATGCTTTTTTTTTTTTTTGAGTTGGAGTTTCACTCTGTCACCCAGACTGGAGTGCAGTGGCACACTCACAGCCACCCTAGTGTCGACCTGCTGGGCTCCGGCAATCCTTCCGCCTCAGCCTTCCAAGTAGCAAGAACTATAGGCATGCACTACCACACCCAGCTAATTTGGTTTATTGTAGAGATGAGGTCTTGCCAAGTTGCCCGGGCTGGTCTCAAACCCACAGGCTCAGGCAATCCATTCACCTTGGCCTCCCAAAGTGCTGGGATTACAGGCTGAGCTACCAAGTCCAGCCAGTACTTCATTTTTATTCATTCATTTATTTATTTGAGTTGAGGTCTCACTCTGCCATCCTGGCTGAGGTGCACTGCATGGTCATGGCTCACTGCAGCCTTACCTCCTGTGCTCAGGCGATCCTTCTTCCTCAGCCTCTCAAGTAGCTAGAATTACAGGTATTTGCCACCACACCCAGCTAATTTTTTTTATTTTTTAGAGAGATGAGGTCTCACTATGTTGCCCAGGCTGGTCTTGAACTCCAGTCCACAAGTGATTCTCCCACCTTGCCCTCCCAGTGTGCTGGGGTTACCAGTGTGAGCCATCAAGCCCAGCTAAACATTTTTAAATTGCTGAATAGTTCATTGTGTGAATATACCACATTTAATGTATCTGCTTATCAACTGTTAGAATTTGGATTGTTTCCAACTTATTGAGTATTATGAATCATGTTACTATGAACATTTGTGTACAAGCGTATGAATGTTTACTTCTTTATATGAGTATGTTTTTATTTCTCTTGGAAATATTCTTTTAGGAACTGTCAGACTGTCTTGCAAAGCAGCTACACATTTTACTTTCCCACTAGCAGTGTACGAGGGTTACAACTTCTCCACATCCTTACTTGTTATTATCTATCTTTATTATTTTAGTTATCCTAGTGGGTGTAGAGTGGTATCTCAAGTGGTTTTGCTTTGCATTTCCCTAATGACTAATAATGTTGAACATATTTTCATCGGTGCATATTTAATGCTATTATTGACAGGATTCTTTTTACATCTGTCATTTGCTGTTTGTTTTCTATATATTTTTATATCATTAAGATATAAATATTCCTGTTTCCCTTTTACTATCCTCTCTTGTGTTAGACACATTTTTTGTGAGCACTTTGTTCTTTTTATATTTTAATATATTTGTTTGTGTGTGTGTGTGTGTGTGTGTGTGTTACTCTCTTGGTTTTTGCCCTAGGGATTATAATATGCAGCTTCAGTTGATCACATTATACTTCAAGTTAATACTGACTTAATTCAGGCAAAACACAGCAGCTTTGCTTTCTTATAGCATTTCCTCCCCCACTTTCTGCTAATGTTATTTATATTACATCTTTATAGCTAATAAATTCAATGTAGTTAATAAATTCACTTCTAATATAGTGTTAGTCACTGCCTTAAAATTATTGTTTTTAGCTGTGCTCGGTGGCTCAGTCTGTAATCCCGTGCTTTGGGAGGCTGAGGTGAGTGGATTGCCTGAGCCCGCGGGTTCAAGACCCGCCTGCGCAACTTGGTGAGACCTCATCTCTGCAATAAATCAAAAAAAAATTAGCCGGGTGTGGTAGCGCGCGCCTGTAGTTCCAGCTACTTGGAAGGCTGAGGCGGAAGGATCGCTGGAGCTCCCCAGGCCGGGAGCCGCCACTGCACTCCAGTCTGGGTGACAGAGTGAGACTCCAACTCAAAAAAAAAAAAAAAATTATTGTTTTTACAATAAATTAGGAAAATAAGAGAGAAAAAAAAATATACAATCTTTTATATTTTTTCACATATGCACCATTTCTTCTTGTGGAATAGATTTACTATACTGTGTTATTTTCTTCAGTTTAAAACAATTACTTTAGTATTTCTTGTAGGGCATGTCTGTTGGCAAGAAATTCTCTCAATTTTTGTTTATCTGAGAATATTTTTACTTCATCTTCATTTTCAAAGAGTAATTTCCTTAGGATGATTCATTGACAGTTTTCTTTCAACGTTTTATATATGTCATTACATTAACTTCT